AAAGTGATAAAGATATGTCTTTTTTGTTTTTTGTTTTTTTTTTTGCAGATAAACTTTCAGTAATCCTAGCAGGACTAGGCATGACTTACAATCAGATGCCTTCTTTAACAAATACCTCTGACAGTGTTTTTAGGGTTGTGCTTTTATTTTTAGACCAGGAAAAACCTAAATCAGGCAGGTGTGATGACAAAGCAGCTCTTATTAAAAAAACAGGAAGCCACATGTTTATCACGCTGTAGCTTAAAGCTTTTACACCTTTTAGAAGTGTGCAACTTAACAGTAAAAATAAGAGGCGTGAGACGTGGGCCAAAGTAAAATTATTATTAATACTGGATCTGTTGCACTTGAACACAAGGCTTTAACACATACCTATCACTTCTAATATTATCTACATTATGTGTGTAGACAAATGCAGAATGCCATAACATTATGACCACTGACAGGTGAAGTGAATACCACTGGTCTGTAGTGGTCAGTGTCTAATGAAGGACAAACGGTGAACCGGCCACAGGGTCATGGGCGCCCAAGGCTCACTGATGATGAGGTTGACCTACTGTAAATTCCGAAAGTTTCCATTTTGTTTGAATCTTTGTTAAAATGGGAACTTATGTACACTGGTCTCTATGAAGAGACACATTCAGCAGCCATAGTGGTGATATCACACCTAGAGTTGGGAGGCTGCTGAATGTGTTTAAAAAAACTTGTCCTCACAACCACAGTTTTCACATCTTTTACATAATTTTTCACTGAATGCTCGACACTTCCTGACAGTATAACTGTGGCAGCAAACGGAATCACGCAAGATGCGCAATGAGCTGCAGAGTGACACGAGTGCCAACCAACTGCCTATTGACTCCTGTGTACATATTAGGCAGGTGGTCATAATGTTATGGACAATCGGCGTAAATAGCTCAACACTTGTTCTTTGACATGTACTTTAAAGCTGCGAGCAGAAATTTAATCACAGGTTTGTTTTGCATTGCTAGTGCAAACGTCGTTTATTCTGCAATCCTTCAGGGTATTGTCAAGGTTGGTGCTGTAGATGCAGACCAGCACAAGTCACTGGGTGGTCAATATGGTGTCAGAGGTTTCCCCACAATCAAGATCTTTGGAGCCAATAAGAACAAGCCAGAGGAGTACCAAGGTACAGAAGAGAATACAGCAGTTTCTCCTTCTGAAGATGCAGCTTTACAGTTTGTATGTTTGAAATCTTCCCCCACAGTGACCTCCTCACTCCCTGCTAAATATAAACATTTCTGTCAGAACAGGCCAGAGAAAAGGGGTGTAGGTGTCAGTGGCAAAACATTCCTACTTCATCCTTTCTCAGCAAATAAGTGATTTACTTATCTGCTTGCAAAGCTTTTTTGGAATGGAGCTAAATGTTTGTGCAGGTTCTGTTATGAAGTGCTGTTTTTGGCTGCAGTGATGGAAATCACATGTCCTTCACCTCAGGTGCACGCAGTAGCCAAGCCATCGTGGATGGTGCTATGAACGCTTTGCGGACCCTGGTGAAAGAGAGGCTGAGCGGCAGCTCTGGCTACAACAAACAGGTAGGGTAGAGGTAGAGGGAGAAGTGAACCTGCACAGTGGCTTTTGGTTGTAGTTATTTAACACTGGAAAGACGACACTGAAGTGAATGTAGTAAGTAACACTCAACTGCTCTGTAGCAGGGTGGTGGTGGCGGAGGCAGCAAGAAGGATGTGGTTGAGCTTACTGATGACAACTTTGACAAGATGGTGCTGGAGAGTGATGATGTGTGGATGGTGGAGTTCTTTGCCCCCTGGTGTGGACACTGCAAAAAGTAAGTCTGGTACCTGATCCAGTCTATATGAAACAGTGAAATCTCCCCCCCAGAACAAGAGACAAGTTCTCAGTCTGATTTCTGGTCTGTGTACAAGGGAGTTAATCGAATTTAGTTTAAAAGACTAAACAGTGTTTCTTTTGGGGAAACACTCAGTAAAGCTGAACAATCCACAGATCTCACTGAAAACAATTCATTTGGACTCTTGCCTCAGTAAGAAATGGTCTCTATTAAACTGCTCAGTGAGGTCTGAGCTCCTGTATCCCTTAACCATGTGATAACAGTTTGAAATGCAGACTTCAAATATAAAAACTCAGAGGCACAGTGGATTCAATGGCTTGGATCTTTCTATAGGAGCTTGATAAGAAAGAATGCAACATATAATTTGAGTAGTTTGGGGCAACTGTGGTTCAGTGGGTAGAGCAGTCGTCTCCCAACCGGAGGATCAGAGGTTCAAATCTCGGTGTCTGCAGTGCATGTGTCGAAGTGTCCTTGGGCAAGACACTGAGCCTCCCAAGTTGCCCCCGATGGTTAAAGCCATCGGTTGAGTTGGCGCCGCAGATGGCTGCCTCGGTTCTGTACCGGAAACAAATTGTGTGTAACACACTTGGCCAAATAAAGGTGATTATGTGATTATTATTAAATTATAAATTTTGTACTGTGGAATAAATGGATTCATGGTCAGTTTTTTATTTATTTTATTATAATCATTGCTCTTCTGTTGTCCATAGCCTGGAGCCTGAGTGGGCAGCTGCAGCTACAGCTGTCAAGGATCAGACCAAGGGCAAAGTTCGACTTGGAGCTGTGGACGCAACTGTACACCAGGGTCTATCCAGTCGCTACGGGGTAAGAATAAATGTGTTACAGTGGTGCACAAGTCAGATACAAATGACTACATTAGTGAATCAAATTAAAAATGTGTAACACATTGCAGTGGGAGACATTAGCCACCCCTGCTAAGTTTGTCATTGTATAAGTTGAACTAACCAAGGCTTAGGACAAAGTTCTTTAGGCTTTGACCTTGGAAACATGCCTGCTTATACAGTTTGAAAGTGTCATATGACATGCTTATCTCGTATTAAAATGCTTTTTTTTTTTTTTTTTATTGACATTGAATATTGAACCGGGGTCTCTGCAGTCTTTCAATACAGCACATCTGTTACTACTGAAACGCTATGAAACTGTGCTAGCATGGAGCAAGTCAGATTATATTAATCAAATCAGGCCAACTCTGCAAATTTGCTTTCTTTTATTAGTGTAATCTTTCTTTTTATATTTACACTTCTTCCTCAATGTCATGCTGCAAGAGCTAGTAAATCTGCCTCTGTGAATGTGGCTGTAGCTTATGCTGCAATAAAGAACTGACTACCAAATAGAACAGTCCTGCCACAGTCACTCGGCTGTTCCTTATTGTAGATAATAATGAAGATCTTTCTTAAACTGAATCCCTATTAAATATTGATATGGATCTGAACCATAATTTAAATGTTTTTGTGTGTAGATTCGTGGATTTCCCACCATTAAGATTTTCCGCAAAGGTGAGGAGCCAGAGGACTTCCAAGGAGGCCGCACCCGTGGGGACATCATTGAGAGGGCTTTGGACCTGTTCTCTGATAACGCCTCTCCTCCTGAACTGCTGGAGGTCAGTACAATATTGTGTTTGTGTCCTTGGATCCATGTATGAAGGTTTATAATGCTGCTGTTTAGCTAACTTCAGAGTTGGGCTAGAATGTCCAGTAGCGATGATGTTTTTCTATAAGTGTTAACCATCAAAATGTCCACCTGGGGTCTCGTTTGCCACTTTGTGCATGAGAAGTGAAAGCCACAGTTAAAACTAAACTCGACACAAACTGAACTTAACACAAAACCCTTAAAGACTGCAGCCAAAGAAACCTTTTAAAAATTGACTTCAGATTAGTGCAGTAATGCTGGTTCCTGAAGACTATATCAAAAAGAAAATCAAAATGGCTAATTGAAATTATATTTATATAAAACATCCAGTTTGAGTGAAATGTAATGTTTGTCTCAGATCCTTAATGAAGATGTGTTGAAGAAGACCTGTGAGGACAGCCAGTTGTGTATAATTGCTGTTCTGCCACACATCCTGGACACAGGTGAGACCAGACATGTCTGACATCTCAAACACAAGGCAGCACTTAGGCAAGTTATCAGATGCAGTAACCCTTTCTCATTCACCATCCATCATTATTGTATCTGAGCAGGTGCAGCTGGTAGAAACGGCTACCTGGAGGTGATGATGAAAATGGCTGAGAAGTACAAGAAGAAGATGTGGGGGTAAGGACGAGAGACCAGTCATCAATTGTTATTTGATTTGACTGTGACTAATAGCCTGCTGTCTGTTCATCAGCTGGGTGTGGACTGAGGCGGGAGCTCAGATGGAGCTGGAGGCCTCGCTGGGTATTGGTGGATTTGGCTACCCCGCCATGGCCGCCATCAACACACGGAAGATGAAATACGCTCTGCTGAGGGGCTCCTTCAGTGAGACTGGCATTCATGAGTTCCTCAGGTGAGGGGATGCTCCTGTCCAGTTTATCGACTACTGTTAAAAGTGGTTCAGAGCCAGCTGAAAGATGGCACTCACTTGCTTGATCTCATCTTCAGGGAGCTTTCTGTGGGTCGTGGGTCAACTGCTACCTTGGGAGGTGGGGCCATGCCCAAGATTCACCCCATTGAGCCCTGGGACGGCAAAGATGGACAGGTGAGTGTGGGTACAGACGGTTGTCTCATAGTCAGAGGTCATCGTACTGTGTTTGGATGCTAATAGACCTGAGGCCTTCAACTAAACAGTTTTAAGCTGGATAGACCTCGAGATTTCATTGATTTTCTACCTTACATTAACTCACATTGCAAGTTGTCCTTGGCCTTTTTGCACAGTCAAAACATTCAGCCTCAGTGCTCGCAATGTATGGATCGATGGGCAAGGTGGTGATATGCTCTCACTGTAGGGAA